ATTATTCATTTGGTATATTTCTGTTTCCTTACTTGTTTACATTCCGTGGTACCTACTTACATGCTTAGGAGTCAAATGGATTATGACATTAGGAAAAAAGCAGAATAAAAGAGATTGAAGTCTTCTGATGATTGAGTGTTTTGGATAGGCCTGATCTTATAATGATAAATCAGAGAATGAAATGCTCTCCAGGAAGCATTCTGCCGCACTCATCCGCGGGAAACAAATTACATTTATTGAGTACCAGGCACTAGGCAACATCTTTACATAGGCTATTTCATTAACACACACACACACACCAGAATTCAACCTTATTATCCTCATTTTATAGTGACTTTGAGAAGGTCTCACAACCAGACAAAGCCAGGACGCTAACCTAGGTCTGCCTGACTCCAAAGCCCATGTTTTTGTTCCTTCTCAACACTGTAGAGAAAAGTGATTTATAGAAACTGAACAGAGTATGAGGAAAGGAGACATGATAAAGTAATGCAGCTTTAGGATGGCAGTTAGTGACTGCCCTGGAACGGGATTAAAGGAGGCTGTGTCGGGTTCAGCTTCCCCTGAATTGGGCTTCCCTTATATCTCAGGAGATTGCCCTATAAAATCAGTAAAATTTGTGCACTTTTTTAAGGATATGGAGTAAAATTGTAATGGCATTATAGGCTAGTAATTTTCACACAAAGAAAAAAATAACGTTCCGTCGTCATAGACTCTACTCCTAAACTTAGCTAACTATCTTGCAAATGCCTGCAGTTTGTCCCAGTGGGCCATGTGAGAGGGGATGTCGGTGGCTCAGGCAGCACAGTCCATCACCAACACAGAGAAAATTACTGCCAGGCCTACCAATGGCTGGCCAGTAGCATCAATTTTGTATTGGAAGGGCAATCCAAACCAGATTCACCAAAAATTTGATAACTGTTATCTGCTAAAACTAATTTCATTATCTAAAAGAAAACATTTAATATTGAAAGAATTCGTAACAATTGAGAAAGTAAAAGCATAAAACAAAAAATGTTAGTACATTCTTTTCCATCACTTCGGATATTTTCATTCCTACTGCTCTTTGTCTTATCTCATCACCTACTGATTGATTTGGTTCCACTCCCATCTGTCTGTATGAGTTTCTTTTTAGAGAAGCAACAGTTCTTCCACTTAGGTTTCCTCCATATCCCAAGAACTCATCCCCATCCCACTCCCCCTCCCCAAATCCTGACCAGCTATTGATTTCTCTTCTGGAGAGAGAAGCCCCCTTTGCTCCCTCCCTAGTTTGTACCTCCTAACCCAATTCTTCAAGCAAGATGGTCAGTGAGCAAGAAGGTTGGCTGGGTGTGCAATTTAGAACTATTCACTCTAAATTTAGACAACGAATGGACGAACTAGTTAGAAATGTTATATTTTTATTTCATTAGTAACATCTAAAACATTCTATTTAGAATGTTTTTCTGGAAAATCAAACACTTTTTTGCAATAATTTTAAAATATATGACTTGTATGTAATTATACCCAAAAGTATTTTATTCCAATTAGAGAAACTGGTAAACAGACATTTTAAAGATGTAATAATGCAGCCAGGCGTGGTGGCTCACAACTGTAATCCCAGCACTTTGGGAGGCCGAGGCGGGAGTTGGAGAATGGGCTGGCCAACATGGTGAAACCCTGTCTCTACTAAAAATACAAAACATCAGCTGGGCGAAGTGGCAGGTGCCTATAATCCCAGCTACTGGGGAGGCTGAAGCAGGAGAATCACATGAACCTGGGAGGTGGAGGTTGTAGAGAGCCGAGATCATGCCACTGCACTCTGGCCTGTGCCACAGAGCAAGACTCCATCTCAAAAAATAATAATGCTAACTTATGTAAAAGTGTAATTCATTTATTCAAAATATACTTAATTTTTACTGCTGAACTAGGACTATAGAGATGTGAGGTAGCTTGTGCCTTTGAGGAACTTAAGTCTGGTGAAGGAGATTGATGAGACAATAGATGATTATAAAACAAAACTCTGAGCTCTTAAGAGGCCTAGAACCAAAGCAGAGAGAAGTGATACTGAGCAGAGACTAGTGGAGCTTGGCTTCACCAGAGGGGTCAGGTCTAGAGAGGAGCGACTAAAACAAAGGAGCCACGGAGGAATGTAGGTTGTTCCAAAAGCCTGGGTTTTGGGATGATGAACCTGGAGAGGCACGTGGGACACATCGTCAGGGCCTTGGCTTTGCCAGAGTCGAACCTCTATCCTGAAAGCATAAGGCAGTGGGCAAGCAAAGGAGGGGCTGGGTAGTAGGAGGTGAACTCAGAGAGAGGTAACACAATATCCAAGCAAGATGGGAAGCCTTTGGAGGACTTCAGCAGAGAGTGGAAGGATCTGATGTGCTTACAAGGATCACTCTTACTGCAGTGTAGTGAATAGACCACAGGCCGGGGCAAGAGTGGAGGCAGGGAGATGAGATAGGAGGCTGTGGCAGGAGATGACAGTGGCTTGGAAGAGGGTGGGAGTAGTGGAGACAGTAAGAAATGGGTCACATTCGCGAGACAGATTTTTAAATTTTGTAATATGGAAATTTTAAAGCCTATGCAGAGGTAGAATAGTTTGGCAAAACCCAGTGTATCCATCATTCAGCAATCAACAATTCATAGCCAATGTTGTTTCATCAATACCCTCATCTACTTTCCTTCTCCACTGCATTATTTTGAAGCAGATCCTAGACATCATACCATTTCATCTGTAAATATGTCAGAACGCATCTCTGAAAAGGTAAACAACATTTTTCATATAACCATATCATTACCATTCCTTAAAAATTAACATTTCCTTAATATCATCAAGTTCCATTCGTTAAAATTTCTGGTTGTCCCATCATTATAATTTTTTTTACAACTGGAAACAGAATCCAACTAAAGTCCCATTCTACAATTAGTTGATATACCTGTCCTTTAATCTATAGATTTTCTATTTTTTCCCTTTGCAATTTCGTTCCAAAGAAATTCTGTGATCATAGTCTAGGAAGAAACAAGACAACTTCCTAGGTGGGGGATTCTTCCGTTAGGAGGTACACTCTGTGTGGCTGAGATATTGGATGTATTTGAGGTACACTCTGTGTGGCTGAGATATTGGATGTATTTGAGGTACACTCTGTGTGGCTGAGATATTGGATGTATTTGAGGTACACTCTGTGTGGCTGAGATATTGGATGTATTTTGAAGACAGATATGATAGATTTGCTAATGGTATAGATTTTTCAACCAGGGGTTGAAAAACAGAGGAATGAAAAATGACACCAAGGTTTGGGCCTGAGCAATTAGAAGGATGGTGTTGCCAACAAACTAGATACCTGGGTTGGAAGTTCAGAAGAGGAGACTGACTTGAGATACGGATTTGAAAGTTGTATTTCATTCATTCAAAATATATTTGAGGTGGGAGTACAGTACAAGAATGGACAAAACAAATAGTCCCTGGAGCCTGTGGCATAGACGGGAACACTAAAGGCTGAAAAGCTGATTAATTACAACCATAGTAAATGCTATGAAGAGCTGCATGGTGCTCTGAGGACATCTAATAGGGGAATGTAACCTAGTTGGGAGGTTCAAGGGAGGCTGTCTTTGAGGAAGTAACTTTTTTTTTTTTTCAGACCTAGACCTGAGGAAGTAACTTTTGAGCTGAGGCCTAAGAGATAAATAATAGTTGGAAGGAGAGAGAGTTTCTAGGTTGGGGGCTAACAGATATCAAGGGCAGCCTGTGGAGGGAACACAGTTCTTTGGAGGCCAGTGGTGTCCAGAGTATGTGAGAAATTGATTTAAAATCAGACTAGAGAACAGGAGCCATACCATGCAGAGCCTTCAAGGTCATGCTAAGAATTTGGATCTTATACTAAGAGCATCAGAAAGCCATTGAATTATTTAAAGCAGGTTGGGACAAGAAGAGGTATATTTAATCAGGTTTGTATTACAAAAGAGTCACTGTGGCTGAAATGTAGACAATGGCTTGGAAGACAGTAGCGGCCAGAAGTAGAGCAGTTAGGAAGCTACTGCAGTTGTCCAGGCTGGAGATTACAGTGGCTTGGATTTGTTAACTGGAAAAACTTTAAAGAAGTTAAATGTAACAGAGTTTCATTGAGCAAACAACCATTTGTGAATTGGGGACCCCTAAGAACCAGAATAGGTTTTAAGAACTCCAGCCTACAACATAGGCAGCATTTATAAGAAGAAAATGGAAGAAGTAAGGTACAGAGACAGCTTCATTGGCTGCAGCTCAGTGTTCTGCCTTATGTGAATCAGTCAGCTGCCTGAGATTGACTGAAGCTCAGCTGCTGAACTGACTGAGACTCAGCTGTTAGTTTAGGTTTTTAGTTAGTTTACATACTAAGTAAGGTTGCAGTTCATTTCGGACTTGAGTATGAAGGCATCCTTAGGCCAAATTTAGTTAAACTGATGATGTGATTGCAGTGAAGATGGAGAGAAAGGGGAGGATTTGGGAGATACTTAAGAGACAGAAACAGCAGGACTTGATGTTTGATGGTATATGGGAATTGAGGGCTAGGGATGGATCAAGGATAGTCTTTGGGTTTTAGATTTGTTGAAGCTAGGAGTGCAAGATGTCCCCCCCCCCCATGAAGCTTGTATAGAGAAGGAAGAATCTAGAAAACACTAGTACAAATGGCCTCTGACTTCTGAGGTTTCCACTTACAATTTTTTGACTTCATGATTATGCAAAAGCAATACACGTTCAGTAGAAACCATATTTTGAGCACCCATACAAGCATTCCATTTTTTACTCAGTACAGTATTCAACAAATTTCATAAGCTATTCTACACTTTATCATAAAATAGGCATTGCATTGGATGGTTTGCCCAACTACAGGCTAAAGTAAGCGTTTGACCCACATTTAAGGTAGACTAGGCTAAGCTATTTGGTAGATTTTTTTTTTTTTTTTTTTTTTTTTTTTTTTAGATAGAGTCTCACTCTATTGTCCAGGCTGGAGTGCGATGATGCGATCTTGGCTCACTGCAACTTCCGCCTCCCAGGTTCAAGCAATTCTCCTGCCTCAGCCTCCCGAGTAGCTGGGATTACAGGCACATGCTACCATGCCCGGTAATTTTTGTATTTTTAGTAGAGATAGGTTTCACCATGTTGGCCAGGCTGGTCACGAACCCCTGACCTTGGGTGATCCGCCCGCCTCAGCCTCCCAAAGTGCTGGAATTACAGGCGTGAGCCACTGCATCCGGCCTATGCTGTTATATTTTCTACTTACAGTGGGTTGATTGGGACATAACTTCATCATAAGTCAGGGAGCATCTGTATGTGAAAGATGAGTCAAATAATAGTCCATATCACAAACTAAGGCAGGGAAGAGGCCAGAGAAGTACAGACCTCAATGTCTGATAGAATGACACAAATGGAGGGTCCAGAAACAAGGTGTCTCAAATAAGGTTAGAGTCTATGATCTTTGAAGCTCTGCACAACTACTGTCTGCTTCCTCCCTCGCAGCAGTCCTGTTGTGGTGGCATAATGACTGTCTTCATTTGGAAGCTGCGGACACTGAGGCACAGCGGGGTGAAGGGGCTTGCCCAGGCCAGACAGGACCAACTCTGAGCCTTTTGGTCTCCAAGACACTGTTTTCATCCTACTGATTCCACATTGACTAAGGTATTTTTTGGAAGAACCTAGAGCTAAAACAATAAAAAATACTGTCCTTTCCTGAAAATGAGTGTTTATTAGCCTGAGACTCTAATACTTTCAGAGACCTAGGTCATTCCTTTTTTTATTCAACATATTCTATATGACAATTAGTACTGCCAGCCGCTGTTCTAAGCATCTAATGAAGATTAATTTAATCCTCATATCACCCCGTGAGGGAAACATTATTATCATTGCCATCAATGTTTAGTGTGGGTATCTTTTTACTGCACAGTGTCACTAAACAGTGGCTTAAAACAACCATTTATTATTATTTCACATGGTTCCGTGGTTTGACTGGGATCAGCCGGGCAGAGCCTCTCACGCAGTTACAGTTAGATGGTGATGAGGCTGGAGTCATCTAAAGGCATAACCAGGCTGGCATTAAAGCAGCCACAGTCCACCCAGTTTCAAGGGGGTGAAGGAGTATACTCTAGTCCTCAGTGGGGGGTCACAGACACTTATAGGGAGGGAAGGAATTGATGGCAGCCATCTTCAGAGGTAAGCTACAATGACAGGTCATTCCCAATGAGAAAACCAAGCACAGAGAAGTTAAATTACTTACCCAAGGCCATACAGCTGGTATGTGGATAAACAGAGTTAATCCGAGGCAGTTGAGTTCCAGAGCCTGCTGGGAGAGGCAAAAGGGATTGGAGCCCAGTAGCACAGCCCAGACTCACAGCAGAGTCAGGGTGTGACGAGCACAGCCTTATTCATAGCAGAGCTGGAGAGTCCTGGAGTCATCTATCAGGGATCAGTGAAAAGGAAGAAATTCTAAAAATACTAGGAAACGTCAAGGACTGTCTAAACAAGGCTGTTGTTATGTTGGGGGTGAAAATATGGTCTCATGTGACCCAAGGCAAGTGGAAGCCTTCATATTTTCATTTATCTTTCCAATCAGGAAAGAATGAAAATGTAAGAGTGTTGGTGGGCGGGGGTGGGTGGGGCATGTGTGTGTTATTTTTCCTTATAAATAATTAAAATCTGGAACCTTTAGTCAGATACTCAAAGGGGTCATATATGGGAGAAACTAAGGCTTGGACCAGGGAGTTAAAATCTGCAGTGCAGACCAGCTTCAGAAGGGATCTTCAAGCTCCTTCGGCATCGTCTGCTAAATGTCTGGGTCATCGATGACCTTATGCACATTTGCTCCCTCTAATGGAAGGACAAGGAAATGACATATCTACTTCAAAAAGGTTAGTCACATCACAGGAGTAGTGGGTATTGCCACAAGTAAGCCCACTCACCTCTGGAGTGGTTGGTTTCTCTCTGGAACTCTAGCAACCTGAGACAGTGGGTAACTTAGGCCCTTTTCAATGTGTAGCTTCTCAGAACTTCTGGGCCAGAAAGGCAGGTTCCACACACTGATTTGGACCCGCTCGACATCTGCGTGGGTGTGGTGAGTGGAAGAGCATCAGGCCATGTCCCAGGTCTTTCCAAATCAGACTCCGTTATTTCTGACATTCCTCTTCCTAAAGACCAGAGGTAGGAATTCAGGGCCGCCATTTTCATCGTCTCTCCTCACGATAGGAATCAGCCTCCTCTGCGGCTGCTCCCGCTGAACACGACGACATTCCAGCCGCGGGGAACTGCTCAGGACTCAGTATCATTCTCAGACCTAGGCAGCAGGGTTCCGTGCTGGCCCTCCTCCAGAGGTGCCCAGCCGCACGGGGCAAAGAGTCTGCAGGGCCAACAGGGATGTGCCCACCCCGTGTCCACGCCATCGCCAGAGACCGCACTCTGGTACCCAGAACCTGAGAATTCCCTGCAGACTTTCAAGGCCTGCTCTGGCCGCTTCCTTGCCAGTGCCACACCCCTGGGACAGCCAAAGGGCAGCTGTTTGCAGGGGTTGTGGACCTAGTTTGTGATGGAGTTTCAGGGTCCACATGTGTGCCTGAGGCCCCTAGCAGCCTGCGGGGAGGGCAGGGTGAGGGGAGGAGGGGATGGGAGAAGATCTGACCCACCTCTTCCCCTGCTGTCTCATTCCAGCAGGACATGCCACAAACTAGGAATTCTGCACTCCAACACGGTCTTCCAGATTGCTGTGAAGGTATATTTGTCAAGGGAGGAGAATAGAATGTATTTAATTAAGAACTTGCTAGCCTGGTTTATAACTTTTAAATATTTAGACACATGATATACACGCCTCCATCTGCACACTTGCTCCCCGCCTTGCGAGTGTTGAGGGGGTGGCTGTCACCACTCTCCAAAATGCCTGGCTTCTCATCGCGCTGTCTGTGTATACAAGCTCCTGACCATGCTGACATGTTCATTCCCATCCCTACCCCAGCCCCATGCACCGATGTGATCATTTCTCAGTACCTAATTCAAAGGCCCCATCAAAAGCCTCTTCCTTGCAGTGTTGTATGAGACAGCCTCAGACCTCTGCTTGCCTTGACCTCAAGCCCCACCATAGCTCTCTGGGTTCAGCCGTTTTCAATTCTGCCTCTGCCGTCAGCCAGCGAGCTCCTCAGGGATGTTCCCAGCATCAGCATGCTGCCGTCAAAGTCATCTATGAAGTCTGCCGATTCGCCACCCCAGATGACCAACTGTCTTGGTGCGCCTCGCACTGAAGACTCTCCAAGATGCAAAACATTCAGTGCTAAAACTGAGACAGTCCCAGGCAAATGAGGACGATGGGTCACCCTAACGGGGAAGAGCCTCTTCAGAAAGGGAGGGAGCATCAGCAGTCATGGTAGAAGTAGAATTCATTGGCCAATTTCAGTTTCAAACAACTAAGAGGACGTTGTCTTTCCTGAGCGGTGAGGAAACACCTAGGCCACACAGAAATCTGGCCAGGCTGTGCAAGTCTGGCCTGAGAAAATGGAGCGAAGAACCTTGGGCCCCAATCTCCAGAGCCCTACTAAAATCCTGCAGTGATTTCCCAGACACTCCTAATTCTCTCATTTCTCTGAAAAACCTCCTGGGAAACCGAGCTCATCATACCGCTTCCAGCTGCCCACACAAGCATTTGCCTCTCAGAATTTTTGATAGCGTCCACCCTAAAAAACAGTGAGTACAAGTCTTCCACTACACCCTGCCCAGTGTGGAGGAAAGCTATGGGTTTTCCTGCTGAGTCCTTTTCTGCATTTATGGGTGAAGACACCTGAATTTCCTTTAGAAGCAACCTCTCACCCTCTTATTCATCAGCTCCACCTTCAGACCGTATCTGCAATCAGGATCAGGTGATCAGTGGCCACCTGATGGGACTGGGAGGGAGGCATATAAGCTGGTTTCTAGCACGAGTTTTTTTACATCTCAACACAAGAATGAGGAAACTGAGTCAGGACCTTCTCCACTGCCAGAGATAGAAACCCAGTTGTTCATGGTATGGGGAGGATGTAGCTGACTTTAAGCAAAGCTGAATTCAAGGGCTCTAGCAAAATGAGATCTCTCTCAACCCTCACTCTCTGTCCCTTTTCTCTCTTACTTTCCTCTGCATTAGCTTCAGTCTCAGACCAGTTCTCCCCAGTTGCAAGACAGAGATATCCAGGCTGAGGGGATGGAGTTCTCCAAAACGGTGAAAGCGCACTCTTAAAAAAAAAAAAAAAGTCTTGAAAGAGAGCAGCGATATTTCTAATAATAACCTCTCAAGAGCAGAGTCTGAATCCACATCCGGGACATCTAACATCAGAGCTGACACTCAGAAACTCTACCAATATAGGGTACGCACCTCCTTTCAGGATACATTAAAGAAAAATTTATCAAAATGACCACAAAACACTCTGCATCCAGCTAAGACTAACTGAGCCAGGCACATACTTTCAGCTTTATTCAGAAGAACCTGGAAAGAAGGTCTTGTTTTCACCATTTAATCAATGCAGCAAGTGAAGGCCCAAGTCCAAGGACTCCACTGCTCTGAGTGATGACAATCCACACAGGAATGATAGCCCCAGTTTACTCACTGGCAGTTCCTCAACCTCAGACATCAACCTACTGGTGCTCAGACTACACCCTCCACGTTTCCCTTCTGCCCTCACCTTGTGTGGTTCCTGGAACACCAGACTTCACTTCTTCCTGCCTTTACCTGGCCACCCAATGGCTTTTATGCATGAAAGCAAACATGTTAGAATAGGTGACCCAAACAGTGTGGACATGTATGAAGATCTGCCTACCCCAAGTTCCAGGAACTCATATGATTAAGAGAAATGACTACTCTGTAATTATAGTAGAAAGAGGGATAATGCATTTGTGTGTACTTATGTATTATGTATGTATTTAAAAAACTAATACATGTAAACAGAAAAAATAATTTTCAAATACTGCACAAGGGTACACAGAGAAAAATGGGTCTCCCTCCCTCTCTGCCCCCAGGTTTCTCCCTAAAAGTATATACTGTTACCAGATCTTGGGTGTCCTTCCATAGATATCCCGTGCATATCTAAGCGCATGTATATATGTGTGTGTGTGTGTGTGTGTGCATTTAAACTCACAAATTTTTTCCTTTTTCTTGTTGTATATAAATGAGAGCACACTACACATGCCACTCTACCTTATTTCATTTATTTAACAATAGATAATGGAAAACCTTCTATGCTGGGACATACGGATCTGTCTTATTCTTTTAGTGACTGCATAGTATTCCATTGTATGAATTTGTTTAGGCTCCCTCAAATCATGGGACATTGTATGAATTTTTAACCCATCATCTAATAATTAGCTGGCATTTGTTTCCAATCTTTTGCTTTTGTGTTTACATTTTAGACATATTTTTATAATAGAGATATAAACAAAGAGAAAAAAGTTTCCTACTTAACTCTTGTTTAACCAGAAAATATGATGAACAGAGGCCATACGATATTCTGAGGGTTCTTGGAAGTTGGAATGAAGAGAATTCAAATTCTCAGCTCTCAAGTAAAACTTTTCGGAATTCTTCTGTTGTGTATTAAATGCAAACTAAACAGAAGTTCGTGTCTTAGGGATCTTTAGTTGCTTAAGCAAAATGTGATGTTGGAAGGAAAAAAGATAGAAACTAAGGGAGGACAGGGAAAAGTTGGAAACAGGAAGCAGAAAACTTCCCTCTCTCCACCTCTTGTCATCTGTGTCCCCCTGTGTCACCTTTCTTCATTTCTGTCTGTGCTAATCATCAGCCTTCTCTGCCTCTCCCTGCCTGCGGATGGAAGATGCTAGCCAGCCCTACAGGACCTCATAGGCAAGGGAATCCACGGCCCTCCTTCCCCACCCCCACTAAAGAGACTGGTTCCCCCATGATCCGATGAGCTCTGGCGAAAGGGACAGAGCCCTATCGTAGAAGATGGCTGCAGGGGCCCCACGCCAAGGACAAACACGGTGATTGGAGATGGGTGGGCTGGGAACGGCCATCAAGTGCCACCACATGGTCTCATGGGGACAAGAGCTTTGTGGACAAGAGCTGCTTAGTAACTCTGCATGAGGGACCCTCAAAGCCGTCACGATGGCTTCAACTTGGCTGTCTAGCTCTCTAACCCGGAGTATTCCATTATAGATAATGTCAGGATAGGTCAGAAAAAATTCTGCCCAGGTCTTATCCAACAACAGCATTTCACACTTATTTGTGGGTGAGATGTGGCGTGCTGAATTGAGGAGTAGGATTCATGTATTTGTAAAGGATGCTTCAGCTCCTGTCCCTACACATACACACAAAAGTTTTGAGAATGTTTTCATATCACCTTGTCAGATTGTAAACGTGTTATTCTCAAGCAATGTCATGGACTTGTTTGGGTAACACTTGTTTTTGTTTTTGTTTTCAGACAGGGTATCACTCTGTCGCCCAGGCTGTAGTGCAGTGGCACAATCTCAGCTCACTGCAGCCTCGAACGCCCGGGCTCAAGCTATCCTCCCACCCCAGCCTCCTGAGTAGCTGGGATTACAGGCACGAGCCACCACACCCAGCTAAATTTTTAATGTTTTGTAGAGACGGCGTCTCGCCATGTTGCCCAGGCTGATCTTGAACTCCTGGGCTCAAGCGATCCACCCATCTTGTCCTCCTAAAGTGTTGGGATTACAGGTTTGAGCCACTGTGCCCACCAACACTTGTTTTGTTCTTTTGGAGAACAAATTTTTAAAGAAATATGTTTCGATCTGAAAATGAGTAACGTAAAGAAGCCATATGTGTTTGAAAGAAAGTCCGCTGAAGCTAGGGTAATGATCTGTCTCAACTCCTGACTCACTAGGGTAACCCCAGCCCCTAGTGACAGTTTTAACAGGAAAGCCCAGTCGGCCCTTTCCTTGAGCATCAGTCTTGGGGCGTCTCTCTGAAGAACACTGCTGAACCACACAGACTCCGAGGGAACTCCTACTCTCTGTGCACACCGGAGAGGAAACTCCTGCCAGCAGAGGTCACTGCCGTACCAGCTGGGAGTCAGCGGCAGGACAGCCTCCTCACAACAAGGCTGTGCCCGCCTCTCCCCTGCCCTCTTCTTAACCTCATGACTGCTTAGCTTAGTGAAGGAGATAAATGGCAGTGTTGCACTAATCAAGTGTGCGCGGGCCATCAGCAGTTTTTTTCTCAGTAGTAGGCTTTGATATCCCAAACCTAAGGGTGTTTAACATTAATACTCAGAATAAGAACACAGGAGAACAGCGGGTTCTGCTTTCACCTTGGATTGTATTTTTCCATGTTTAGCCCAATCATAAACTTAATCCACCTGCTTCTCGCCTGGGTGACTGAGAGTAGACTCCCACCTCAGGATGCAAGCCCGTGTGCATGCGCATGCACATACACTCACCCCACGCACACAACAAGACCCTCCTAGAGAAGGAAATGATTCCATGATATGGCACCTCAAATATTTATCATTTCTTGATGTTGGGAACATTTCAAATCTTCTAGCTATTTTAAAATACACAATGAATTATTGTTAACGATAGTCACCCTACTGTGCTATGAAACACTAGAACTTACTCCTTCTAACTGTATCTTTGTACCCATTATTCAGCCTCCCTGTTCACCCCTGCTTCCCAGCCACTGGTAGTCATCATTCTACTCTCTACTTCCACGAGATCCACCTTTTGAGCT